AGGGAAGACCACGATTGGTTAACAGACATGATCAATTGAATGATTTGGTTGATCAAAATTCGAGAACTACAGTCCGAAAACTTGTATCAGAACCTGAAACATCTCGTCAACTGTTTCTCGGCACTTGAAAGCAACTGGAAAAGTAAATAAATTGGATAGGTTTGTTCCGGATGAACTGAATGAGACTCACAAAACGTCGCTTTGAGGTGTGCTCTCTGTTGCTTTCCCGACAAGAAAAAGAACAACTTTGGATCGAATCATAACATGCGATGAGAAATGGATACTCTTTGACAGCAGTAAGAGGGTAGGCCAGTGGTTAGATGCGAGCAAATCACCAAAACAATACATAAAAACTCTATTGCACCTTAAAAAGTTAATGGCTATTGTATGGTGGTCTTTCAAAGGGGTTATTCCTTATTCACTCTTGCCCTAAGGGAAAACAATAACAGCAACTTCGTATTGTGGAGAGATTGAATGTATTCACGAAACAGTAAAACCAAAAAAACAAACTTCTTAGACTTTTAAATAGGGACTCCCAATTTTTCTGCACGACAACGCACGGCTGCACGTTTCTCAAACAACTGTCCAAAAAGCTGCATAGCCTGAATTATCAAATTTCGCCTCATCTTCCATATCCACCTGATATCTCTCCCACTGACTATCACTTATTTAAACATTTTGAACTTTCCATACGCAATAAACATTCTTCAATAAGGAAGCGGTAATCGAAGCATTTGAACTGTTGATGAGAATTTTTTTAAGGTGGGATCAAGAATTTAGAGATCGGTTGGAGAATAATCATTCATCAATACGGTGCTTATTTCAAGTAAATGAATTAGTTATTTAACATTTCAGAAGCGTTTTATTTATTTCTTATGAAGTGCGGGATTTCATGTGTGGATAACCTAATATAAAAAAAGAGAGAAATTAAGTTAACATTTAATTGGAAGTCAAAAAATAGCAAATGTATTTGAGAGAGACCCCCACCGGTAGACCATGAAGATAATGAGAGAAAACAAGATAACGAGGCACAAAAACAAAAATGATAACAAAAACAGGACTTTTTTTGTTGGCATTACAATGAGGGGTTTTGTTGGCATTACAATGAGGACAAGCAGACCTCAAGTTACTGAACGTGAGAGACGTTTGTTATTTACTTACGTGCAATTAGGATGGAGACATAGTTTTACGCCGGATTAGGCTGATGGCAAATGATCATTGGAAGAGCATAGCTTGCATTCTTCCTTATTTCTCTATCCCCCCACCCCGAAAACGGTATTTCAAGAACTTAACTAATTCATTTACAGTCGAACGAGATAAGCTTTATCAGACCTACGAATTTATACAAAACCTTATTAAGCAAAAAAATGTCAAACTGAAAAAGTTCCGAGTAACGCGTTTCGTCCTCTAAGACTTTCAGATTAAAGTAATGTTTTTTGTCTATGGACTTATATATGCGTAGGAAGGAGAGGGGGGTCTGTTATAATTCTGAACCAACAGGAAACGCTGGAGATGTTGGAACGCTCTGATATTTTAAATTTATTTTTTTGTTGTCGTTCAGATGTCTCTGGGCATGTAGCCGAGCTGATTTCATGAAGTGAATATGCGTGAGGGCCAACTGCTTGGCTTTCTTTGAACCATTAAAATTAAATGTAAATGATTTATCTTATGAAAATGTTATTACAAATGGCATATTTTCATTTCTTCAAATGGATGATAGATTTAAACAGTTCTTACCAAAATCACTCAGCCTGTCATATCTGAAGCTCATATAAGATGAAGTAAAATGGTGTCTGGAGAAAAAAAGAACTTCCTGGAAGCTATAATATATCTGAGGTTAATCTTAAACATTACATATTATTGGTAATTAATGTTGTCTGTCAACTTTTAAGTTAAGAACACATGAACAGGAACATAACACCAATATTCATCTTATTAAGAAGTAGAAAACATAAAGTGATACATGTCTAAGTGTCCAAATATATTTATAACTGACTAGCAGTAGAGCCCGGCGTTGCCCGGCGATGTAACAGTAAGAGATAGATCAAGTATCGACCATCGTAAAGACTGAAAAATAAAATTGACAAAGATTATTGTTTAAGGTTGACGGACACGCATGTCTTAATTATTTTTTTATTTTTATTTTTTACGAATTGGTCAAACCCAAACTCAAACAAAAACATTGTTTTCAATCGTTCTGAGTCTACCGATTGAATAGAATTTTATTATAAACAATTGTCTTGTAAATGGAATTTTTAATTTCCATCTTCGCACTTCACATAGTGACGGTTGAAATTTTTCAGGAAAATAGTTTTCTCAAATGCAGTAGCCGTTATGGCTCATTCCACTATTGATGGGAGTTTCTTTCCTAACCTTTTGTTTTTTTTGAGTCGTGTGGAACATCAACATCTTGATTATGTCATTATTTTCTCTTCGAGTTACATGTGATATGAAGTAGAAAACATAAAGTGACACCTGTCCAAGTATCTAAATATATTTATAACTGATTTAATTCACTAAGATTTTAGAATTTATTCATCTCAGATGACCAAAACAAATAACCTGCCTGCACTAATGTGAAGGATGATACCGAGATCTGGGCTGCAGTATGTAGGCCAGGTCTGATTCAAAGACAGTAGTCTGGCTCAAAGGCAGTGATTTTAGAAATTGGCTGGAAAAGTCTAAGGTCAGAGTCACACCGCTAGAGGTCGGCCGCAGCGCTGTTGCCATCTTTTGGAAAAGTATGAATTTGCCCTTTTTCAGTGTTTTCTTTATATACTTTGATTGTTAATGCATACGAAAGACTCAAGCGTGTCGGGCAATGGTTATCGGCACGGAATGTAGAATCGGCGTTCCCAGATAACAATTAAATGTTCTTTCCTTTGTTTAAAACGAGATTTTCGCAGTTTAACAGTTAAGTACTCTTTTTTCTAACGACATTTTCCAAGGTTAACTGTTAAATACAGTTTTAAGTACTTTTAAGTACTCTTCTATGTTTCTCACGAGATTTTCCCATATTATCAGTTAACCACTTCCCCGCTAATTATTTTGGAAAAACATTTCATTTTCAGACGAATTTTCTTTTTGTTTTTAATATAATCATAGTAACTGAGAAACTGAGACACCTTGAAGTAACCGAGCGAAAAAAAAAAATCAAGATCGACATATAAACACGTTTGTAATTGGTTTTTGAACGGTATGTTCTGGACGTGTTTATTCGTCCTTGTCTGAAAAGAGATACATTCTGTAAAAACCTATGTACACGTCTATGCTGGGGAAGGAGCCCTTTTCTTTGTTTCTAACGGGATTTTCTTAATACTTTGCTTAGCTTTTAGAAGGCATCTTTCGTTATAATTCTTTCTAGATATTTAAACTTTTGTATTTGCTAGGTTTTTGGCATCTCCAATTTGTAATTCGCATGTTTGTCCCTTCTAAAATTCCTATTTAATTTAGCGAAGTAATTAACGTTTTGATAAACCAGTTAAAATATTACTTTAATTAAAATAAATTAAATAAGACTTATTATTAATGTTTATTACTTATTGTCTGCTTATAAATTAAATATTACTTATTTTGCCACCTCATTAATGTTCACCGTATAATACGCTATTAATTATTAAAATTAAATTCTGCTATTAATTCTAAGTTTCTAAAAATATCTGGTGTTAATTATATTCCAGTATTGATGCTAGGTGTTTACCTAACGCTGGGCAAACGTGGGTTAATTAATGTAAAGTCGTATTTGGAGAATACGACATACCGTGTACTTGTGTAATGCGCGATCTCGCGTATCATGCGAAACCAAATTTTCACTTATAAAAAACTAGCAGCATGGCCCGGCGTTGCCCGTGCTTGATTCAAAAATCGTACGAATCATACAGCAATCGCTATCACTTGACTTGAAATATTTTTGCCCTTCCTTGCCTTTAAAGGAGTGCCCTTTGCCGTGCTGATGTTGCTACATGCCTTACTTCTTGCCTATCTCACACTGCGAATTTTTCTAAGCTCTACACTAAACATTAAATCTGTTACGAAAAAAGAACTAAACAGAATGAACACAAAACGACCAGCTTTAAAAAAGGACTCGTACAGCCATAAACAACCAAACGAGAAACAATTAAACATCTTATAAACGTAAACAATGGACAAGATGCATATTCGCTGTTTGTATTTTATAATACGATAGTAATATGTGCATTACGTGTATTATTATTGGATAGAGTTAAGTAAAACAAGTTTTATCAAAATTAGGTTTTAAATACCGCTGTACTTTTTGACTGCAGTAAATGGATATATAGTTTGGTCAACGGCGTAGCCAGGGTCAGCAGTACATACGTTAATTTTATATCTCGTGTATGATGCGACCCCCTTAAAATTAGCTTCGAAATTAGGTGTTCAAAAGTCGAATGATACGCGAGGATATACGGTATAACTTCTTTTTCGGAATCGGAGAGCCGAGTTCGAATTCCAGTCGAATCCATTACATTCACTTACGTGCTGATACCCTTGGGAAACGTATGAATCCTCTTCTTCTCTCCCCAGCTATGGTTAAATAGCAGAACAGGCCGGGTTCTATAGCCTTGGATGCCAACTGGTCTACCGCAGAAACAAATGACAACCTACTGTAGGAAAAAATCTGCCTAGCCAATCATGTATTGAAAGATACATGATCGCCTAAACGTGTATCACGCATGGCGTATAACTGACTGATATCAGAGTAAATTAATTGATTGATTCGTTTTCTGCGGTTATTCAACCCTTTGTAGGTTATTTAAAGCCACAAAATATTTTTATATTGCATGAATCTCTTTTTTATAGATAATAATGGTTTAGTAATACTCGTGTTGCTAATTAACCCATAGTTGTGGGGAGAAGAGGTATATTCATCTTCCCCAAGGTTATTTGCTATAAGTGAATATAATGAACCGGATGGAATTGGAACTCGGCACTCCGATTAACACTTCCAAACCATCATCCATTACACCACCTGCACATCCAAGCTTACAGCAACCGGTTATTCCCAAGCTGTTACCCATCTAGGCACTGACCAGGCTCGACTTTGCTTAACTTCACTGATCGTACGGAAATCGGTGTTACAACGTGAAATGGTTGTAAGCTATACCACCTGCACATCCAAGATTGCAGCACTTGGTATTCCCAAGCTGTTACCCATTTAGACACTGACCAGCCTCGACGTTGCTTAACTTCGATATTCGTACGGGAACCAATGTTTCAACGTGATGTGGGCTTAACACATATCAGAGTAAAGGAAACTAATTGAACGATAAAAAGGCAACTCCTATGTCACGCACTTCTTCTTGTAAAAGGACTTCTTCAGACTAACATTTTTATTAATGGAATCTTATAAAGAGTGTCCATAAAATCTTTGTGCAATTTAAAATAGCTGTAGCTTTGTAACTATACACGTTATAAACAATCTATAAAAACGACAAGAAAGATTAGAGTGTTCAGTTTTTTCTCGTTCTAGACGAATTCTTTATTTGTTTTATCGATTTTTTTTTTCAATTTCTTAATACATCAAAATGAAATTTTTTCTTCAATTTCTCAAAATTTCAATATAACTTCTTTTTCTTTTTTTAGTAATTGCCGTTTAACTCCATTGGATTTCTTTTCATAGGAAAATATGAAAAGTAATGTTTAATCAACTAAACTTCAGTTTTTAAAGGAATTGTAAGCTAGGATAATTGATTTGATTGAAGGTGTTACCGAAAATCAGCTGCAAAATTTTCCCCGAAAACCAAAGAATAGTGTTAGCCTTTGTATACGTCATGATGGCAGACATGTTGAAATTTGAAAATCCCAGTCATAAATTTAAATACAGCTTCTTTCTTTTCCTTTTTACAGATTGTTTCTATCAGGTATAGTTACAAGGCTGCATGCATTTTAAATTGCACACAAACTTTATGGACATCCTGTATATGCCGTGAGAGGGAACGATAACGCCGATTCTAATTAAACATCGAGAGAAACGCATAAATTTAAAATTTCCGTCTTCGATAACTTTAACACGTTGTTTGATTGTACTGTAATAATTATAAACTATGTTGAAGAAACCTTAGTATGGTTTCGTCTACCAGATTTCGCATACAAGACACCCCTATCATCTCTCCAGGCCAATATTATAAAAAATTGGCCTCCTAAGATTCGAACCCGGGCGTTATGATCGTAAAGCTAATATTCTAACCGCATATCCATTAATTAGGTTACCGCTACATATATATTAGATAAATTAAAATATTGCTCATTTTATTAAATATTATCCTTTTTAGATTAAAATATTATTAATTTCCTGTATAGCTTGTTTCCTATCCACAAGCGGAAGTTATAATTTTGTTGTTGTCAGTACTTTTTTTTGCGTTTATCGTTCTTTTTTATAAATAACTTTTTAACCAAGAAATCTCAACTTCTTAACGTTTATGAGGACAAGCAACGAGACAAGTTCCTGTCAAATGTCAAGTATCTAGATTTCGTAATTAATTCACACATTCTATCATATAAATAAAACGGGACAAATATTTAAACGGTTGAATTCACTTCCGTTCGTCTGTGAGGTAAGTCAACTATTTCGAGACATTCATTCGAGAATATCAATTTTATTGACGATGCAAAACTTAGTTTTAAAAAGACTTAATTTTTAAAAACTTTATTTTTCTACATTCATTGCATACACTTTTAGCTGCACATCTCACCAATTTAATCTAAGTACTCAAAGTTTTGTAATGTCAGTCTGAGTCATGTATATATTTATAAGTCATATTTATAAATGGTGTTTCATTAAGACGGATTATATATAACGGTGTTTCATTAAGACGGATCAAAGTCAGTAGTAAATAAATCAGTGTTATTGGTGAAAATTTATTTATTTCTCTATTGGATCATGTTATTTAAGTCATGGCAATTATGTGTGAAAAATAATATCGCCCAAATGTCCGCCAAATCGGAAAGAAAAAGAAAAAAAAAATCATTCGACGCTTAAAATTAATTCACATCTAGAATCGGTCCAACTTATTGAAACACCCTTTATAATCGATTTGAGTGACATACAGGAAATTCCGAATTTTCTGTAGGTTACTCAGGTAGGTTTCCTTTATTTAATTAACGGGAGTAAACTGTTCTACATTAAATAAAGAGTTCAGTTCAGAATTTCCTGTAGGTTACCCAGATCGATATACATCTGGAGAAGGCCGGAGGATACTACGGCTGAAATGTTGTGATAAAAACAACAAAGATGAGGACAATAATCCAAATATAAATAGTATAAATAATTTGTATGTTAATTTAATTCTAAAACACATTTTGAATATATCCGTTAAAAAAGTGATGTTTCCTTATTGTTGAATTCATTTCCGAGGCTAAGATACACAATATGCTGATATTTTGTTTTAAATATGAAACTATATTTTTAACGAATATAGACACGGTGGAATAATGAATAGCGACACGGATAGAGGAATCTGAGAGCCAAGTTCGAATTCCAATCGAATCCATTACATTCACTTAGGTTTTAATACCCTTGGGAAACGTATGAATCCTCTTCTCCTCTCCCCAGCTATGGTTAAATAGACCGGGTTCTATATCCTTGGATGCCAATTGGTCTAATGCAGAAAGAAATGGCAACCCATTACGGGAAAAACATCTGCCTCGTCAGTCATGTATCGAAAGATACATGATCGCCTAAGCGTGTATCACGCATGGTACAGAACTGTACTGAGACACGAAGTATTCAGACGTTTTCTTTAAACCATAAGGAACAAGCACTTTTTTTTTTTTTTTTTTTTTTGACCGTTCGACTCAAAATGCGTTTCGGAAGCTGAGAAGATCATGAATGATCATGGTGTTGAAAGAGATTTTTTAATTTTAATTTTGAAGGATGAAGCAGCCAAGACGACTTGGGAGACACATCTAGATAATTGGAAACAAGCTCGATCAAAAACCGTTTCACCGCATTGGGACGCCCGAGCTGAAGACAAATTTATTTCTAACTCTTGAAATAGACATATCTGCTCAGTTTCGTATTTTTTCTGACTCTTGAAATAGACATATATGTTCGGTTTCGTATTTTTTCTGACTCTTGAAATAGACATACCTGCTCAGTTTCGTATCCTAACGTAAACAAAGCAATTTGTGAACAAAGGGATGGATTTTTTATTTATTAATCTGACAAACTTTTATTAATTAAATATTAATATTAATTAAATATTAATATTAATTAAATATTAATATTAATTAAATATTATTTTTAGTGGACGTATTTTTAGTATTTTGAGTAAACGCTCCGTATCATAGACTATTTTGATTCTTGGATCTATTATCAACATATCTTGTCTAGCTTCTTTACATTTCTATATCAACTTTATATTTATCTTTCTCTCTATTTTTTCTTTGGAGAATAGATTATATCTTGTGTCTTTCTTTCCTTCTCGCTCTTCTTATTTTCTTTCTTCTTTTTTGAAAAGACTATATCTCGTTTTTCTTTTTCTTTTTTCGACTATATCTTGTGTCTTTCTTTGATTTTCTTTTTAGAGCAGACTATATCTTATGGCTTTCTTTCTTGCTTGCTTTTCTTATTTTCTTTTTTCATGGGAAAAGAGATAAATAATGGAAACCTTATTAATAAAAATTATTAATTATTTTAAAAATAATGGAAGCCTTATTAATAAAAACAAAAAACCAACACTTAATAATATTAACTTTGAACATGGACATAATATCTTGACCGTGTTTTGAAAAATGAAGACATTTTATAAAACATACATACAACAAACTATTTATTATTTTAACAGTTAAAATATTTAATCTTTGAAAATGGCTAAATGTATAGCCGAAAGCGCTCGGATATAAAGAACATTAGGACAGTTTTTATGTAATTTATCATACGAAAGGGAAAAAAAATTAGATCGCATGAGAAATTGTATAAAAAACTAAATAAAAGCACCCTGTCTGTCGTTTTCAATGAAATGTGCATATATATATATATATATATATATATATATAGTGTAACCCGGATATAAGAGACCCGGATATAAGAGAAACCCGGATATAAGAGAGATTTTCTCTGGTCCCAAATTAGAGCCTGTATTAATGTATATAAAATAGACCAAACCCGGATATAAGAGAAACCCGGATATAAGAGACTTCTTATCCGGTCCCGACAACTCTCTTATATCCGGGTTACACTATATATATATATATACCGGGTGTAACAGCAAAATTGCCCCAATCGTTTAACAGCATAATTGTCCATCTTACGAAATGTTTAATATCTAAAAAAACACTAAACTAATTTAATTTCTTTCTCCAGATAAGACGTTTAGCCATCTTGACACCATTAGTCGTAAGAATCATTGAAAAAACCTTTGAGTCATTCAATTGAAAAAAGAACAGGTTAAAATCGTTTTGTGTCAGATCCACTGTATTCCCAAACTGACCAATGGTGAGAGGAAAAAGATCATTCAGTCCTTCAGTAATGGTACCAATATTCATACTCTGGCTTTCATCTTCAAAGTCCTTTCAAGAACCATCAAGAGAACTGTGAATACGTTTTAAAAAAGAGGGAACAGTAGAGAGGAAATCTAGATCAGGAGGTCACAACAGGAAGAGGGATCATCTTTTCAACTTAGAGTTAAAGTGATGAATTAGAAAAGATCCAACTCAGTTTATAAGACGTTTGGCACGTGAGAGAGGAGTTTCAGCCATTTGCAGACCAAAGAACAGTGAAAAAAGACTTGAAAATAAAATGAAATCTCAGACATTCTCAGCAGATTCCATCTCACACATTTATAAGGAATTAAATATTGCTGCCATATCTGGTTTTGGTGTTTCGGCCTTATATCTCGAGATTCTTGAAAAAAATCCAATGAAGGGTCTTTAATGTTATTGGTCCTGATCTGAGTCTCACTATTCTAACACCGTGACGTGGCTTCCCCCTGTCTTTTCTATCAATATTTTCATGTCAGTTGTTCTAATAAGCGCTCCTCTTTGGTACATGAATTTAAGCGTTTTACTAGATTGGCAATTAAACTTATCGGTTTACTGTTGTATTAGCTAGATGTAACCGTAAATTCTATTTTAATAGTTTATTTTTTGCACTTCT